CTTGACTATGGATAGAAGAGATAGACTCATATTTTGCCACTGAATGAGTAGTGGATCAAAGTGATTTGAAGGCTTCAAAGGAGAGAGGTACCAAATTGTTGAAGTTATAAAAATAAAATAGGGAAAGTTTAAGTGTTCTGGAGAATGGAGGTTGGGCTCAGAGAAGGAGAAAAGAATAAGGAAAATATTCAAGGCAAAGAAATTGGAAAGTACCACAGCACAAGAAGAGGGCTCAAACACACACACACACACACACACACACACACACACACACACACACTATGTATGGGGAATGGCAAATGTATTGTTTGGCTAGATAAGAGGCTTTACATAATCAAAGAATAATCAAGGAGATTGTAAAAGTGTTTTGGAGCCAGTTTGTAATTGATGTTGAAATATCAGGCCAAGTGTTTTGGATGACTGCCTTCCATAAACAATACAGAAAATTGATTGGAAATTTTAGAAGTGAAAATTTAGCAATATTTTGAGAAGGACTGTGTATAGAATGGATAGAGTAGAGTTTAAAATGGGGAGGGTTGTTATCCTAACACAAAGGAGTCTGGAATTAAGAATAATAATAATAAAGGAAATGTATGTGGTAGGTGGTGGAGACTTTACAAAGGAAGACTTGATAGGGCTTTGGTGGGGGAAAAGGACGTGTGAAGGTCTATGGAGTTCTATATTTAGGAGACTGAATTTCATCTACAATATCTAAATCCAGAGAGGCTGGTTTAGTAGGAAAAATTAGCTGAGTGAAGATGTATTAATATGATATAATAATGAGACTTGAAGTTATTCGGGACACGTCTGAAATCTAGGGAAGTGATGGGCTCAAACTGTATATCTGGGCATCTTCTTGGTGAAAGTACAGCTTCAGCTCCTTCAGGAGAGTGTATAGAGCAAGAATTCTCTGAGCAGTCTATGCATCTCTGACGCAACCTAATGATGGCTTTGCTTTTTCCTGCCTTCCCTCTCCCTGTGGGAGCTGTCTTTCTTCCTCTTCGTGGGATTCTGGTTAGAGGGAATAAAGTTATGGAGTGCCACTTTGCATATGATGGACAAAGGTCTGAACACAGTCTGGACAATCAAGGCTTCCATCCTGTAGATATGCGGAGAGATGATGATTAAGCATCCTAACTCCTTACTCTAGAATTAATGACGAGGTAGACAGGGTGGGGTGGGGTGAGCCAGAAAGGGCCTCATGTCCACAGTATAGAGACAGCCTGCCTGACAATGAGGCCAAATGAAGTAGAGAAAGGATTCCAGTGATGTTAGCATTGTTTAAAGTGTTAGGATTAGACATTCCTGGATTTAGTCCTTCCATATAGCGGTCATGTACCATCAAGCCATACTAGGGTTGAGCTGGGGGAGGGAAGAGCTATGACTATTGCTGTCTGGCAAAATCAGCCTGAGTCATCATGCTCATCCAGATATTTAGATGATTTTTAAAGAAAAAGATTGATTTATTTTTATTTTATGTGTATAAGTGTTTTTGCCTGCATGTATGTATGCACACCATGTGCATGCAGTTCCCGTGGAGGCCAGAAGAGGGCGATGGATCCCCTGGAGCTGCCATGTGGGTGTTGGGAACCAAACCTGGTCCTCTGCAAGAGCAGCAAGTACTCTTAACTGCTGGGCTATCTCTCCAGCCCAGGTTGTTTAGATCTTATACTGATGGTTAGTGATGGGATTGTTCAGTTCCTGGAGTATAGTACTGGCTACATAGACTGCATGTGTGATAAAGTGACACCAGGCAGTAATTAATTCAGTGAAAAGCAAACTAGCACTAGAAAGATAAATAAGGCAAAATTGTTGGGTTCTACATTTTTTATTGGTGTGTTTCATTGCACATAGTTGGGTTTTATAATTAGGTGCACTTATTTCAAAACATCAAATAGGAAAAAGATGTTAATTTTTTCAGATAAATCCTGATCTATTAACTAAACTATTTTATAGTGTAAAGCGATAGAATAAGTTTAATTTTGATTTAAAAAAAAAAAAGCCTAAGCGGATATACAAAACCCCTAAAAACCATGAACAAGGAAATCTATATAGGGAAATACTGCTATCACGTTACCAATCTGGGTTTGTACCTTGTGGGAGAGGTAGCTTGCTTTGGAGTCACGGTCTTGTTTGTAGTCCTGGCTGGCCTAGGACTAACCATACAGACCAGGCTTGCCTTGAAATTATCCTGAGATTACACATACACACCACCATGTCTGGCATCTTTCTCTTATTTCCTTCCTTCCTTTATTTTATTCTTTTTTCAGAAACAGTATGGATCAAATTTATGTTCCCAGGTCAGACTTGAACTTGTAATCCTCCTGCGAAATCTTACAGTGTGTTGATATTACAGACATGTATCATAATGCCTAGCTTTAAACGTTGAGTTAATATAAGAAAGAAATCATTTTTCATATTATCAGCTGAACTATGTCAAGAATTGTATGGCAGTTTTTTTTTAAAAAAATCATTTTTCTTGCCATACTAGGAAGCAAACTCAGAATCTGGCACAAATTAGGTAAGCACTGTATTACTGTGCTACACCTCTAGTCCTGGCTTTATAGAATAAAATCATTCACAAAATTGGCAGCAATTTTCTGAGTAAGTTAGGAAGAAAAAATGACCAATTATTATAGAAGATATCTGCTGAATATTAGAGACCTTATTTATAATGATGAAGCACTAAAGATATTATCTTTAAGATGTGTAAAACTACAAGAGATCCTGCTACAACTTGCATGAATAATACATTTGAGACATTAGTCAGCATGACACTAAAATAATAAATACAAGGAATATATATTGGGAAGGAATCAGTATATGTATACATTTGTGTAATCTAGAGATAAAATTAAAGGTAAAAGAAGGAGTATGCATAGTTAAAATTAGAAGAAAAGAAATCATTATCGTTATAATCTTGGTACCTAGAAGAAAGCACAGGCAACTTCTCACAGCTCTTTGTATCTTTGTTTCCTCATGGGGCTTTGTGTCACAGAAAACTACAGTAAATACATTCAGAATGTGTTACTTTTTATTCTGTACTTCTGTGCTTTCAACACACTTTTACATTTTGTTTCAAAAACACTGGGAAACATTAAACTGCCACATGACTGCAGTGAGAGAAAAGCAATGATGGGATCAGTGTGGCTCCTTTAGGATGCTAGCCCAGATGACGAAGATGTCCACATCTTCATCAATGTAGTGTGATCATTACAAATGGAAGTGACCAATTAAGTGTCCCATCCCTCTGCCTTATCAATGGTAACAGTCACTTTCCTGAGTGAGATATGGAGAGTGATACACATGAAGAAAGGGGGAACACCTTTTTTTTTTCTTTAGGAACCAAAATTCTCATAAAATAACAATTATTCTTGCAATGAATCAGCCTTAAAACACTTTTTGTATATCAAAGGCAAGAATTTCTGTCATTTAGAGATAGAGGAAAAAGGAATGTCAGATAATTCCCACCCACAACTTCAAGCAAGTTATTGTACCACTAAAGTCTTAGGAATTTCTTTAGTACAGTCTCTCAAAGCTGTCACCTACGCACGTGTATTGGAAAGGTCATCGCATCCCAGGTAAATAAGATTGAACAGAATTCTGTACCCACTCACATGCTGGCAAAATTGTTCAAATATTAGGATTATAAGAAAGACAGAAACCCTCAAAGCCCAACAATGGGAAAATTAGGCCAATTGCAAAATAACAAAAACATGGCTTTAGATTTCTCTCTTGCAACATAGAACACCAAAGGACAAGAGAAGTTATTGAGCCAAAATTTCAAATTTATCCTCATTTAAGATGTCTTTTATATATGAAATAAAAGTCATTTAAATATAGTAACATACATTATTATTAATAAAATTTTTTGATAAACAAAGGAGACATGAATTAGTGCAAAGATGTGGAAAATATATTAAGAAAACAGTGTATGTTTTAAAAATATGATCAGTAACAGAATTTAAAAGAACTTCCAACTATGGGAAATTTTAAAGAAGAGGCCAAATTTCTAGTAACCAGAGTAAAATAGTTATATGACTCATATAATAAATGATAATTATAACTGGGCAATAAATTGAAAACATCAGAAAGCACTTGAAATAGAAAATAGAGGCAAGGTTTTTTTCCTTGAGGAATTATGTCAGGAAGGAGTAAAGATTGTAAGATTGTGGCTTAATTTGAGAAGGGGTTGGCTTGATGGGTTTCTCCAGATGCAGGGTCATTTAATTAGAAAGCCATAACTATAAGCCACAGCTTTATCAATTCAAGGTACCACATGACTTTATGGCTGGAAATGCAGTGGGAAATCTAAGAAGAAAGTTCTTATATTATAAAGAGTAATATCCCAAGTCTCCATATAAAGTGTTCTTAAATTTCTGAATTTCTCATATGTGGGAAAATTGTAATGAGTAAGATAGGCAGTGTCTGAGGAGGATGGAGGATCTGGAAACTGATGATGTGTTCTTAGAGAAAGTCCAGTCTAAGACTGGACTCATATTAGTATAATGACTGCCCAAATCTTTGGATGACCTCTCTACTACACAGGTACAGGGTATGCACCAATACTAAGGCTAATGACTTGGTGGTAATCGCAAACCATAAAATTATGCATCAGTAGTTATGTAGCAGAGGGAAGACAGACTTTGTGATTTGAACCCCAACAAATGGACTAGCCAGTAAAACCAAAGGGCAATACTCACATAAACACAGGGTGATTCTAAGTCACTGCAACACATAATAAAATCTCTAGTTTCCAACCAAAATATTATTAGACAGGCAAAGAAACAGGAATGGACCATTTCTTTGGAAAAGATGGGAGTCAACCATAATAGGACCCCAAGTGAGGTCAGATATTGATTATCAGAGATCAAGACTTCACAGAATTAGAGAAAATATGCCCAATGAACTAAAAGAAAAATGGCCTTGTTATTTATTTATTTTTTTAAATTCTGGCCCTTTCTTAGAATCAGCTTTCCAATTTCTGCATAAAGGCTTGCATCAGTCCATAGAGATAGCATTGAATTTATAGGTCAGTTTAGATAGAATCTTAATAATAAATCTTTAAGTCCATCACACACGTGGACTATCTCTCCATTTACTTACAACTTCATTGTTTCTCAGCAGCAATACCCTACAAATTTTGGTGTACAAAGCAGCTGCTTCTTTTAAAGTTAGTTGTATATACTTTCGTTCCTTTGAATACTATTTTGACTTGAATTTTATTGCTCTGATTTTCAGATTGATGGTTGGTAGTATAAAGAACTATGATAAGCTTCTGCAAACTAGTCTTGTATACTGTATACTTTACTGAACTACTCTATGAATTCAAACACATATACATATTTACTTTTCAAAACAAACTTTTAATTTAAAAGAATTTAGATTTATAGAATTCTTGTGAAGATAGAAAAGGGCCTTTCTACACACACCATTCATGTAGTTTATTTATTTGTACTTGGATACCCCAGACTTTTCTACATATAGAATTATATCATATGCAAATAACAAGTGTAGCTAGAGTTTCCCTGCCTGGCCCACAGTCAGGACAAATCTCTCTCACCTGCCAGTCCCACAGCCGCTCAGACCCAACCAAGTAAACACAGAGACTTATATTGGTTACAAACTGTATGGCCGTGGCAGGCTTCTTGCTAACTGTTCTTACAGCTTAAACTAATCCATTTCCATTAATCTATACCTTGCCACATGGCTCATGGCTTACCGGCATCTTCACATGCTGTTTGTCATCGTGGCGGCTGGCAGTGTCTCTCTGACTCAGCCTTCCACTTCCCAGCTTTATTCTCCTCCTTGTCCTGCCTATACTTCCTGCCTAGCCAATGGCCAATCAGTGTTTTATTTATTGACTAATCAGCAACACATTTGCCATACAGAACATCCCACAGCAAACAAGAGTATTAATTCATCATGTTTTCAAAATCTGCACCACACTACAGTCTCACCAATAGTGTGTAAGAGTTACTTCCCCCACCTCAGCGACACTTTAAATCATTTGTTTCTTGATGATAATCCTTTTGACTGGGATGATATGGAATTGAAAAATAGTTCTAATTTGTATTTCTTTTATGGCTAAAGATGTTGAACACTTTAAAAATGTTTATCAGCTATTTGAACTCTAGATGAGGATTTATCTTAAAGTGTTTGATTTTCTTTTGAAAACTTTGTTCAGTTCATTAGCCCAGTTTTTGACCAGTTTATTTTCTTCTTATTTTTTGAGAATCTATATGTTTGTGAATTCTAGATATTAATCCTTTGTTGGATATATAGATGGCAAAAGTTTTTTCCATTCACTTAATTGTTTTGTAAAACCCAACGTTCTGTTAAAACAGTGGTGGTGATAAGGCCAGGCTTATTAATTTATTGTTGGTTTTATAAGGAATATATTTAAAGTTAGTTTAGTAGAATTTGGCTGTTGGCTTATCAAAATAAGAAAGGTTCTTTCATTCCTTAGGTAGCTACACATTTTTAAATAATAGCTGATTAACTTGTCAAATATTTCTTACACAATTTGCCACTAATGACTTTCTATTTTAAGATGTTTTATGCTGAATTACATTGATAGATTTTTGTTGTAAATCCTTATGATTTTGAGGTAAACTAAGCAATACCATTTTAACATGTACTGTTAGATTTAGTTTTTAAAATTTATTTTATAACCACGTTTATCATAAGTTTATAGGTTTATCTTTTTTGTTGCTTGGCTTTTGAATTTTGCTTATACAAACTTTCCAGAAGACTGACCTGCTCTGTACAAATATTGTTGGCCTCTAGGTTTATAGGAGGGGGGTGTAGCCACTTACCCAATTTTTTAATTTTATTTATTTGTTCAAGTTTTATTTTTATTTTTCAAAGTTGGCACTTTGTATTCTAGATGTATCCATTTAATTCAAGTTCAATTGAACAAATGTCTGGCTGGCAGTATTCCAAGAGGTTGCCGCACTCTGGGGTACCTCATTGATCGCCTGGATGGACTCCACCAGGCCACAATAATTGCGTAAAATGTAATTCAATAAAAGCATTAGTTTTCACTTGCTCTGTTTTCTCTCTCTCTCTCTCACACACACAAAATGTCAGACCCCACAGAACAGTATTTCAGGGTCAGAATGTTAGATGTGTTAAAGAAAGCTACAGATGAAGAATCTCTTGGTAAATCAGAAAACTGGTTGTGAAAATTGCCTGGATCTTAAATAAAACCGAAAAAAGGAAATGACATTTGGATTATGGGAGGCAGAAAAGGGCCCCAGAGATTCCCACAAGGTCTGGAAAGAACAGGGTAAGGGCAAGGTGAAATTATGCCGAGTCCCCCAGGATGAGGACTGGGTTTGTTTTGATGTTTTTGGAATCAGCACCAACCAGCATCAGTCTGGGATCAGTTATTAAATCAATGGATACCCAGGACCCCTCAGGCAGATAGAAATCAAACATTTGGGTGTAGAAAAAAATGTATTTGAGGTCTTTAATAGTTGTCCTATTTTCCTGTAAAAAAAGCGGGGGAGACACGTGCATTTGAAAAATATTTACTCAGCAAGATGCAAAAGAAATGAGCGTTGACTATTTTCCTACAACTATGACCTCATTCTGCCAAAGAAGAAGCAAGGGGCATCAGGGCTTCCGTTGGGCTCTAACGGCTGTCAGGTACAGGGAGGCCACCCCTTGCCCTAGACACAGTCAGGCAAGCACAGAAGCCTGGGTCAGGAGCAACACAGGCCTCAACCCATGACCCAGGCCCAGCAAGTGCTGCTGCGCATGCTCCAGCTGCTATCCTGCGCATGCGTACAGGGTCGCCCGGCTCAGGGAGAGGCTTCCTACGCTGTGCCTGGGAGATGGAGACGGTGGAGGAGGAGGCCCCAATGCTGGCACCGCCTCAGCCCGCAGAGCTGGATGAAGAGCTCTCTCCGGGTACTCGGGGGAACCAGTCAGGAGACATGGACTCCTATGACTTGACCATCCTTCATTTTAATGATGTGTACGATGTGGACCCGAGTGCTGAAGAGCCTGTAGGAGGCGCTGCTAGGTGTGGGCCGCCATCTTCCTTGTCTGACCCTGGACGGGGAGTGGAGGGTGGTGCCTGGAAACCTGCAAGAAGTCTTGGAAGCTGGCAGGGAGTCTTGCATGCCAACCCTTTTGGGCTACTGTTTAAACTCCCTTCTGGATGTAGTTAGTAACGCCAGTAGTTTTAGGGGAAGAAAAACTTGGCCTGGAATCTGCACAAAAGCAAACTGGAAACTTTAGTGTGAATGTGGGGAATACTCTGGTAATAGAAACCTGTATTCAGACTCAGCCATTTTTCCTAACCATTGTATGATCTTGTCAAAGACTTAACCCTTCTTAACCCTCTTTAGGCAGTTTTAAGCAGAGTTGGGTGTCCCCCCCCCCACCCCTGCTATGAAATTTTAAATTCGCAGTGAGACATCTATAACTATTAATTGTCAGCACTTAAATACTTTTTTAGGTTAGGAAGTTGTGCTCAATGCATCTGATTGCTCCCAGTGACTCAAGGTGGAAAATATTTGGAAATGTGGAAATACAGCAGTGCAAAGGCAGGGTAATACGATGCCAGTGTAAAATATTAATTGGATATTAAGCCTGGTGTGCTGGAATACGTTGAAGGCTTGTCTAGGAGTTACAGAAGTAGAATAAATTACTGGAGACTGTCAAAAAGGTGTTTGTGACATGACCCAAGAGGTGTTTGAGGAAAAGGTGGTTTTCAATAGAAGAGATTAAAAATCAGAAGCAGAAATCAGTTGGAGACTCTTTGTATAAGTATAGTTATAACTTAATGACATAGTGGAATAAGAACAGAAAGAACAGCTAGATTTGGAAGATGAAACAATGTTAAAGAATTGGTTATTCAGTAGCATGTGAGAGAATGTGTATGTACCTGTATATACAGGGTAAAAGGAAACACGTGGTGGAGGGGGTGGGCAACTAGAAGATAAAGGACCTATAGTTGTTCTGTTGCTTAATACCAAGGAGCAAGAGTTTTGAAGTGATCTCTGAAGGTGTAGTTGGTTTGGGGAATTGATGCTAGAAACACTATATTAAGAAGCTTGATGCCTGTGTAGGCAGAAGTGACTATCAAATACTCCAGCGAATAACATCTCCCAGCTATTCTTTCGTTTTCCAATATTTTAGTTCTTTTCCCTCTCTAAAATGTTTTGTACATAGATAGCTCTTCTCTAATTTTGGAAGAAAATCTCATTCTTTAAGTCCTGTGACTTCTTAGCAAAGCTCCTTGGTTATGGTACTGGTCACTGGGGTATAGATGGTTACTAAGTAGCACCTTGTAGGTGTAGGCTGCTACCATATACCTATGCTTATAATCTGCCGTATGTGTTCACTGACAAGTGTTTAAGTCCAAGATGCTGTGGGGTGTATAATTGATAACTGTGTGCAAAAGATCATGTCAGAAGTTTTGAAAACATCTGTGATGGTTATTTTCTATTGGTTTTTGCCATTTCTATGGTTATTGCCAGATTGACTGGATTAAGGAACACTCTGGGACATTAATGAAACATACCCGTGAGTGTCTGTGAGGGTTCTTCCAGAGAAATTTACCTGAGAAGGAAGGTTCCCACCGTGAGTGTGAGCAGCACTGGTCCATGGGCTGGGGTTCCTGAATGTGTTAAAATGGGAAGGAGATACCAAGTTAAGCAATGGCATTTCCATTTCCCTGCTTCTTGGTTGGCATCATGGACCAACTTGTTCTTACCTCCATTCTTTCTTGGTCATGATGAACTGTATTTCTATGAACTGAAAGTCAAAATAACCCCCCCTTTAAGTTGTGTTTGGACAGATATTTGGTCATAGCAATGAGAAAAGAAACACATTTACATCAGAATAAAAAGTCACTAGGAACTTCATGTTTATTACCACTCTAAGCCCTCATAATTGTATGTGGTACAAAGTGGATGGTGAAAAGAAACACTCTGAATGAATGACTATGATAAACAGTAGTATAATCGAACTGATAGGATGGTCTTGAATGGGGATTTAACAACATAATCTGACTACAGTGGAGTTGGGTTTTGGTCTTGAATTATTTTGAGTGAACTTTCAAGAGTGTTTTAGACTTACATAAAGATGTGAAATACTGCAAAGGATTCACATATTCCCCCATTATTTACATTTTACATTAGTGTTGAAGCATTTATTACAATTAGTAAACAGAAATGTGTACATTATTAGTCAACATCTGGATTCCACTTAGATACCCTTAGTATGTTCTTAGATGTTCTTTTTGTGTTTTAGGATTCCATGTAGGAGACCACACTACATTTGGTCTTTTTCATTCCTTAGACTGCTTTTAATTATGGCGGTTTCTCTAGATACTCTTTGTTTTTAATGATCTTGATATTTTAAAGGAGTATCAATCAGGTGTTTTAAAAAATGTTCTTTAATTAAATTTATATGTTTTTCTCATTGATTATACTGGTATATTTTATTTATTTATTTAGGAAAACCACAGAAATAAAATTCCATTTTAAAAAATCACATCTTTTCAGGTCAGCATATTGTCAAAACTACAGACATTGACTTTTGTTAAATTTCTCCACTCTGAATTATGCTCCCTGTCCTTCTGCACCCCCATCATGGCAAAGTAACTTAAGAAATTTTTTGGATTATTCCCTGGTGGAAGATATCTCTTTCCTCATTTTATTTATTTATTTGTTTATTTATTTATATCACTATTGCATTGGTTTTCTAGGATTGACAAAAGTATTGTAAAATGAGTGGCTTAAGTCAGTAAAAGAAAAGGTTTGTCTGGAAGGCCGGCAAATCAAAGGCCTGTCAGAGTTGGTTCTTTTGTGCCTCTCCAGGTTTCTGGTGAGGACAGCAGTCCCTGAAAATATGTATAAATGCATCACTCTAATCGCTGGTTCTGCTTCACATGGTGATTTCTCTCCTCTTCTCCCTCTCCCTTTCCTTTCCCTGCCTTCCTATTCCTCCCGTGCCCTACAAGGATATAAGTCACTGAATTATGGTCCGCTCTGATCATCTCATTTAACTAAGCTTAATTACATTTCCATCGAGCCTCTTTCCAAATAAGGCCATGCTCATAGGTACAGGGGGTGGAAAGAGTTAAAACTCAACAAAGATGGATTCATGGATTTCATTGCTTTTTGGTAGACTGCCTTTCAAAATTTTGTAAAATACCAAGGGAAAGCCATGTGTTGAAGGATTTAAAACAGTATGTGTTGGACAGCAGGATGGTATTTGGGAAATGTAAATTTTTTTATGGATTGTGCAGCTTGATGGAGGCTCTTAGTGACTTTTCTGCAGCATTTCATCTTCTCGTGTTTCTTTTCACCCATATGCCTATCAGCCATGTTAATGAAAATGCTAGTATCTTGGGGGAAGCTCCAGAGATTAAAGAATTCTAATGCCATTGAAATGTCAGTTAATCTCAGACGGACAAGGTCAAGGGAATGTGTACCCATCTGATTTCTGGACTATTAAGGTGGTGGGAAAAAAACACACAAAAAAACCACTGACTGTTCAGTGATTGGCACCTCTTGGAATATATCCATTTAAAACTGTTGCTCCTAGAAAGGTTGCTCAAAGAATAGATGATTATTTATGTAAGTGATAACTCTAGATTACTTGAATATAGGATTACTAAGAGAATATCTGGTTTGAAGATGTCCTATTTCCTTTGTCCCTTAAATGTTATTTTCTGAAGTGTATTGTCAACCTCTGAGTTTGCATCTTTGCTTACTGGAGCAGATATATACTCAGTATTCATGTGGTTCAACAAATACTCATTTCTAAGATGTGGAGTGCCTGGCATATAGTGTTCAATAAAAAACATGTGAATTATTAATGTAACCCATCTAAAACATGCCAAGTACAACACTAAACCCTGTTCTGAGCAGCAGGGGTGTAGTAGGGAATAGCAAAGGAAAAAAAAAAGACCTTATCCTCATGGGAGCTTGTGTTTTAGATAGAAAAACAGACTGTAAACAAAAAGGAAATATGTCATATGCTGGATGGTAACAAACACAGTGGAGAAAGGTAATGCAGAATAAGGAGAGTAAAAGTGTCGAGAGTTGAAGTTGGGGTGCTTGTCATTTTAAAAGAAGTTACTTAAATCAAACCTTGTAGCTAGAGTTTTCCTGCCTGACCCACAGTCAGGACAAATCTCTCTCACCTGCCAGTCCCACAGCCACTCAGACCCAACCAAGTATACACAGAGACTTATATTGCTTACAAACTATATGGCCATAGAAGGCTTCTTGCTAACTGTTCTTATATCTTAAATTATTCCATTTCTATAAATCTATACCTTGCCACATGGCTCGTGGCTTACCGGCATCTTCACATGCTGCTTGTCCTGGCAGCGGCTGGCTTGTCCCACCTATACTTCCTCCTGCCTGACTACTGGCCAATCAGTGTTTTATTTACTAACCAATCAGAGCAACACATTTGCCATACAGAACATCCCACAGCAAAACCTTACTTGGTCTGGTGAGAGGACTCAGTGGGTAATAGGGCTTGCTGCCAATCCTGACAACCTGAGTTTGTTCCCTGAGACTGTGATGATGAAGAAGAGACTCAACTCCTGCAGTAGTCCCTCAGCTGTGCATGTGCCCTGCGGCATGGGCACCCCCATATGGACACACAAATAAATAAAATATAATAAGAATAATAAGGCCCCATGATCAAGTGATATTTGAGGAGACACGAGTGAAATGAGATGTAGTATGAGACATTTGACTGTCTACAAGGAAATGTTTTAGGCTGAGGAAGTTGCAAGAGCAGAGATTAGGAGGTGAAAATATGCATAGTGGGTTTCGTGGACACCAGGTAGCAAAATGGCTAATAGGGTATGTCCTTATTTGGCAGGGTCATAGGACTGAGTCTCTGGGGGAGGGGGAGGGGAGGGGATCATTATGGTACAGATCAAAGAATGGGCAAGAACAAATTAGACAAAATGTGTGCAGTGTGGGGTACATGCTTGTTTAGTTTTGGGGTTTGAACTATTGCCTGTGTTGCAGATAAAAATTAGCAGTT